AAGGGTACTGGTGCTTTAACCTGAAAGTTACTTTAGCCAGAGAGAGTGGCTTGCAACATTGAGGGGAACTGCAACAGTGGGTGCCGACCTCTTTGTCTGCAAGTCTGTGATTAGAAGCAGCAATCAGTAATCGGAGCACAGATCCCCAATATCTGGAGGACAGGATTCTTTGGTTTTTTTTTTTTTTTTTTGAGGAAGATTAGCCCTGAGCTAACTGCTGCCAATCCTCCTCTTTTCGCTGAGGAAGACTGGCCCTGAGCTAACATCCATGCCCATCTTCCTCTACTTTATATGTGGGATGCCTACCACAGCATGGCTTTTGCCAAGTGGTGCCACGTATGCACCTGGGACCCAAACCAGCGAACTCCAGGCTGCCGAAGTGCAATGTGCGCACTTAACTGCTGTGCCACCGGGCCAGCCCCTGGAGGTCAGGATTCTTATTGTCCACCCCGGCTCCCATGATCTGTGTGCCAGCTACTCCAGGAACACATGCAGAGCTTCCTGCCACATGGCTGAGAGTGGGGGTGGCTAGCTACTACTGTGCTAAGAGCTGAAATTGACTGAGATTAACCACAATTTATGGTCCATGTTGTCCCCCGGAAATTGCAAGCCTTCAGCAGACTCCAGAGTTTCAAAATAGTTGCATCAGATTTTGCCAGTGCAACTGTAGTCTAGGTGGGGTTCCTGGTGCTTTCTAATCAGCCATTTTCACAGAATCCTCTTTTCCCTTGCTTTTTTACAAAACTATTTATTTCATCAAATAACTAAATATGCCTAAATTATATATTTGTGGAGATCTGCTTATTTTTGAGGTTTTTAGAAATGCTATGCTTGATATCATCTTCTGGGATTTTCTTTTCACACTCAACATTGTTCTTTTTTTAAAAAAGATTTTATTTTTCCTTTTTCTCCCCAAAGCCCCCACTGTACATAGTTGTATATTTTAGTTGTGGGTCCTTGTAGTTGTGGCATGTGAGATGAGTGGTGCCATGTCTGCGCCCAGGATCTGAACCGGCAAGACCCTGGGCCACCAAAGCAGAGTATGCTTAACCACTCGGCCACGGGGTGGCCCAACATTGTTCTTAAGATCTGGCTCTGTTGTTACATGCAGTCATTGGCCATTATTTTCACTGCTATGTAATATTCCATAGTATGTGTGCCAGTTATTCACCTGTTATCCCTGGGGTCCCAATCCACCCTTTTAAACTCTGATTTATGTGCTGGACTGTACAAACCACATTTCTCCATTTTCAGTGGCATCCTGCTAGGTTCTGGCAACAGGGAGAACTTACAAAAAAAGATTGAAGGGTGGAGGAGGAGAAAAGGGACTGGCTTCCTGTTTATCTCTATTTATCCCTGTTCCTTTCAGTGAGGCATGTAGCTTCAGTCTCCAACTCTTTTCTCATGGTCAGAACCAACTCTTGCTTCCTCTCATAGGCATGGTCACCAATGGGTGGTGTCTCCTCCTCAGAGGTGAGGGCCTCCCTTCCTCAGAGCCCCTCCTCCAGGTTTCTGAGTCTATAAAACCCTTTCCTTCCCTTGTGTTTCCACATCCTGGAAGGGGTAGCTGTTTCCTGCCTTCCTCTTCAGGCGTCAGCTCAATGCTCCCTCTGTCTTCTTTCAGCCCTCCAGTGCCTGTGCTACTAATACCCTGTATTAAATACTCGCTGCTTGAAATACTTAGTGTGGCTTCTGCTTTCCAGAGTGGATCCCAACAGATACAGTGTGAATATGCCATAATTTATTTACCCATTCTTCTTTTGATAGATGCTGGGTTTGTTTCCTCTCCTTTGCCATTTGAACAGTGATGCTAAGTACATTTTGTACATGTGTCCTGGGACACAGTTGTAAAGTCTCTCTATGTATGTATGAGAAGTGGGATGCTGGGTGCTTGGGTATACAAATGTCCCATTTAACAAGATACTGTCAAATTGTTTTCCAGTTTACATTCTCACCTGCTATGTATACAAAGTCCTGTTTGTTTACTTCTTCTCCAAATTCCACATATCCCTCCCTGAGGATGTGTGTAGAGGGGAGGGGAGGTCCAGCACCTGGGAGGCATAAGAATCTGAGGGCACAGAGGCTGGCAGTGGGAGGAACCATACGCCCTTGGATTCCAGCCCAACTCAGCCAGATGAACTTTTGTGTCCCTGGGGAAGTGTGAGACTGGCCTCACCTGAGGAAGTCTCATTGATGCCCCAAATGAAGATGCACACCTTTGCACCCAGTTCTTGTGTTGGTCAAGGGAAATCACATATGTCCTCCCTATCTATAAGATGGGGTAACAGGCCCAGTTCACATTGTTGTAAAAATTTCATGAGAGCCCTTGACAAATAATCCTGCTGCACTTAACAGATGCTCACTAAACGTGAGTTTCCTTTCTTCTTGTCCTGTTCCTGCACTGCAGCCACTTTTTTGAGAAAGTGAAAGAAAATGAAAAAAACAATCTCCCAAGCAAATCACAGTTCTGATCTCCATCATTATTAACAGAGCATTCATTCATTTCTTACCCACAACAAAAGGAAATAGGAATTTAAATTTTACTTAGGCCCCTTGCATGGTGGGAATTGGAATGAGCTGGTTTTTCTTGCAACATTTGGTTGACAGTAAAAGGGAAACCTCTGACTCAGCATTCCCCTCCCTTACTCAACCCTACTGCACACCCACCCCAGCCTAACCCTTGATCAGAGGAAGGCAGAGAAGAGGGGGTAGTGGAGACAGAACCCCTTACCCCGCCCTCAGGGTCAGGTCAGCAGGGATGACCCAGCTCAGTTAGAGGAACAGGGAGCTGTTCATGAGCAGTGATTTCAGAAACACAGACCTGGATCTACAGCCAAAAAAACCACCTTCCTCACTATCACCTAAGAGTCCACTGTGGGGATTTTGTTAAAATGCCATGAGAAGGAATTCGTGCTAAGCCATCGACAACTTACAGAAGGCATCCAGCCCAGCCTCCTCCCAGTACAGCAATACATTTAGCTCTGAGCCAGCTAATGGGGGCCCAGCTTGAACGCTGACTGTGACAGGGGCTCGTCATGTCAAAGAGCGGCCCTTTCGGTGCCTGGACAGCTCTGACTGCTAGAAGGCTCTTCTCATGCTGGTCAGCTCCTGCCAGACAGAGCCACAGAGCAAGGGTGTATGTGGGTGCCAGGACTGTGCCAGACTGTGAGGAACAGAGGATGGTGGAGACCCTGTCCCAGGCCTCAGGATAGACTAGGTCCAGAGAAAGGATTGGGGCAGGGCCCTGGCTCCCAGCCCCCGTGGCAGCCCTGAGGATGCACACTTGACCCACATTCAAAGTGCTGCACCGTCCCCTGGAAGATGAAGCACAGACACCCAGTGGGACAGTCACCTGATGGCCTGGACACTCCATCTCAATAAGCGGCCTGGTCACCAGCTGGCTCATGGCAGACATTTCCAGGTACCTTCTGAGGTATTCTTCATCTGACCCTGACCCTGTGTCCTGTCCTCCAGCAGCCTGAGCCCCAAAGCTGAGGTTGTGCTAAGCTGGAGCACATTGCCTCCTGGGTGTCAGGAGAGGCTGCTCATTGGCTTGGGGGTTACCCCAGTTGTTCTCAAACTTTCAGGGGCAACAAGGAGGAATTATTGCAAGACAGATACAGCCATGAGCACTGCAGACATTTTCCTGTGCTGCTTGGAGGTGACAGACTAATATGGGAGAAAGAAAGACATAAATTCACACACTCAGGGAGTGCCCCGAAGCACCAGAATAGGATGCAGGTGTGTGTGTGTGGGAGACGTTGGACAGGCCCCCTGCCGGGCTCTGAGAGGCCAAGGAAGGTTCAGAGAAAGTGAGCTCTACACTTGTTACTGCACCAGGTTTGTTTTCACGTGCTACCCAGAAAGCCAAACACCGAGATTGCAGCAGAGAGGTGGTTTTAATCACAAGGCAGCCATGTGAGGAAGTGAGAGAATGAGTCTCAAATCCACTTCCCCAAAAATGGGGACTCAGGGATATTTATGGATAAGGGGCAAGGTGGTCTGAAATGTGGAGATAGATGATTGGAGGTGAGGAGAGGGGATGCTCTATCTGTGCGAGCATAGTCAGACTTGCATGTGCACAAAATGGCGGCATTAGCATGATCCGAGGGTGGAGTTTTTAGCCTCTTGATGCCAAAAGGTCACTTTTGGGACATCTCCACAGGCCCAGTTGGTGAGTTGGTGTCTTAACTGGCTGGAAGTGGACAAGGGGTTCTAATTCCTCACACACTCATTACCACGGTGATCCAGGCTCCAGGGAGATGTCATTTATAGGAATCTAGTGGAAGTCAGATAGCTTATTGCCTAAACAGCACAGTTAACAATGGGTGGGTTAAACAGCTAAAAGCTATAATCACTAATTGCAAAAAGGAAGAAACTTTAGTTCCTAGCTAACTTAATCATCAATGGCTAACTGTTCGCTGGTTTCAACCCCCCCTATTCTTTGGTCATTCCTTATTCTTGAGGGATTCAGGGTGATGACCGATCTAGCTACTTCCTGCTGAATTGGGGCATAGATCTGGGTTAGAGGAATGAAACTGTTTAGCACTTATTTGGAAATATTCTCTTGTTCCAGGCTTCAGGTTGACATTTTGCATTATAAGAATTTTGTACCTTGCTCAACAGTTTTGGAACAAAGTCTAAAGGCACATTTTATAATCAACTATTGGACCAGAAGGATAAGAAGTATAGACAACCCAAATTTTAACAGTCCCTGAAAAATGGGCCTAATCCCAGTGGGGCCTCCATCTGATCTCCAAGTGGGGGCAGACATCAGGTCTTATTTCCTGATAGTCTTTTGTTTTACTGGATATGCATCAGAGATGGGGGAGCAAAGCCCTATACTCTGATCTTTCAGTCGTTATTGACGATGGCTATCAGCATAGACTCCCTGCCTGGGGGTCATCACATTCCTAGGGAACTCAAAGGAACAAAGTTATCAACTTATAGCAGCTGAGAGGGTCCATAAAATCTACAGAATATGTCTGGGTTAGTTAACCAGAGGTCATTCAAAGCTACAATATGGTTTCTTTTCTGTGATATGGCTTCCCTTATGTCAACCTTGTGTTGAGCTGGTATTACACTGAGGTTGGAAGGAAGGGTTAGAGTTCACCAGGCAGAGGAGACAGGGAGGAATGGGCTCCTGGAAGCTTGGAAGCAGGGAGGAGCCCTCCTTGAGGTCCCAGGGCTGCAGGTCCCACTTCCCTCCACACCTGGCACAGGGCCGGGCGGTGGTGAGGGACAGCCCAGCTGTCTGGAGGATGGAGCCCTGAGAGAGGAATCCAGTCCCGGAGTCCAGGCCGAGCTGCAGCGGAACCTGCATGTCTCGGCTTCCTTATGGGTCAGATGGAGTTTCTGACTCCAGCTTCTTCTGCAGCCCTGAGAGGTGGATGCCACCCTCTGGACTCTCAAGTGAGCACATGGAGGCCCAGGGGGCGCCCCTCGCAGGAGACCAGAGGCAGGAGCTGAGAACAGAGCCCAGCACACCTCTCCTGGTCTCTCAGCTGAGTCACGCTCTGGGATCCCCAGAGGTTTCACCAACTTCACAGGGATGACGGAGAACAGAGAATCAAATGATGGTCATGGGAAACGTGCCATGATGTCACATGGCAGTCATGGGAAAGGACATGCCTGGCAATGGTGTTGGCCTTGTTTTCTTCTGGGATGGGGTCACTGGGCTGTGCTGGGACTGAGAGGATCTGGATCTGAGCCCCCAGCTGTGACAAAGCCCTGTGAGCCTGGGCAAGGGGGAGGCTGCATTTGCTGGGAAGAAACTCCTTTGATTCCAGTGTGGAGAAAGAGAGAGGCGTGCAGATTTAAACTGCATCGTGAGAGTTCAAGCCAGACACGTGGAAGAACATCCAGGCTGAGGGTACTGAGAAGGAAAGGGGAAGTAAGCACCTGCCCACTTGATAGTGTTGAAGGGGAGCAGAACTTGTCACCCCAAAATATGCCTTTTTGGCATAAAGATTATTTTAGACTGATTATTTTTAAGAAACTGCGAACACTGGAGAAGCTATGAAAACCAATAAAAGTTACCCTCTTGTAAGAGACATTGACATTTATAGGGGAAATCTCTATTTGTAAAGATGTCTCCCTCTCTATACCAGGAAGAGAAAGATGACTTTAAATCTGTAGAAACTCTTCTCAACGGAGAAGGCAGACTTCAATCTGCATTACAGCCTTACCCTTGTTTACTTGCTTTCCTGTAAACCTCCCCTAACGGGCCTCCCCACTACAACACCTTCTTTTGTCTTTAGCTGGAGATGTTATTTAAGGTGATGTCGGTCAACATCTTGGGCCATTTCGGGGAGTTACTCAGTTTTTCAGGGTCTCTACCACATATACAAGAGGTGTACATGTTATTAAATTTCTGTTTGTTTCTCTCCTGTTAATCTGTCCTTTTTATTGTAGGGTGGTCTCAGTCAAGAACCTAGAAGGGTAGAGGGAAAATTATTTTTCCTCCCCCACAGTGTCATCAGCTCTTAGGACAGGAAATGGCAAAGCCAGTTCCCTAATTAGGACCCCGTCAGAGTCAATTACCTGGAGCTACAGCCAAGGGGAAAATCAATCAGGGCAGAGATGAGCTTTCTCAAAGATCTTTCTGGCTTTGGGCAGGGGAGAGGGTGGCAGGGATGGGAAAGAAATGTAGTCTCCCAAGCTGGGGTCCAGGCCTATCTAAAGGCTTAATATTTGTAAAGGTCTGGAATTGGGATGGGGGCAAAGGAGGGCTGAATAATTTACAAAGAAAGCAAGTGGAGAAGTGGCTGTTGCTGATGCTGAGGTTGTGCCTTGTTAGTCTCAAAGCAGTACGCTTGCCCTCCTGGGACAAAAAGTGCATGTGGTGATGTTGGAGGAGGGGGGGTACTGTTACCAAGCCCTAAGGGACCAGTGACCTGAAAGTGGGTCTTTTTGCTCTGAGTCGCTTGTGCCAGCAGAACGAGACTGGGTTCAGAACAGCAAAGGAGAAATTTTATTCGCACATTGAGGACTGGAGAAGAGAAAGCTTGTGCTCTACAGACAGCTTCTCCTTGAAGATGAGGAAATGGAGAACAAGGAGGAGGAACCACGGGATCATCAAGACTCTGGAAAAGGGGCGGAGACTTCCAGGAACAGTTGGTACATGCGCAGTTCTCCAAACTCCTGTGCACATGGCACCAAGGTGCCTAGCAAGGTGCGTTGCCACCCCCATCCCCACTCCCTTACCTCTGCTCCTGGCCGGGCTTTTAGCATGGTAGGTAACGAGGCAAAGGTGATTTCAGGGTCCCTCCAGGTCCTTTTACACAGGCGCTGCTCCTGTGGTTAGGGTAGAACCGGTTCAGGGCGGTTTGCTGCTGTGGGTTCTTTGAAGCATGGCTGAAAACTCTCTCACATGAAACTGTCAGGTTGGGGCCAGAGTAAGCGTGGGCCAGCGCTAAGTTTCACTATTAAGAGTACAGGTTGGTATGCCAGGAGTATGTACGGGTGACAGAGTGAGCAGAGAGCCAGCCTTTTAGTGCAGCGTGACAGGCTTTGTTTGTGGAGGCATTTGTATTAGTTATCTACTAATGCATGATAAAGCCCCCAAAGTTTAGCGGCTTAAAACAACGAACATTTATATCTCACACAGTGTCTGAGGGTCGTGAATCTGGGAGCTAAGTTGCTGGCTTGTTGGGGCTCAGAGTCTCTCATGAGGTTTCAATTAAGCTGTCTTTCAGGGCTAGAGTCACCTGAGGGCTTGACAGGGACTAAAGAATCTAGGACTGACATAATGTGGTATAATGATCCAAAGATGGCCTGATATTGGCCCCTCATGGTAGGCTGAGACTGTGGGCTCAAAAGCCTGCTGGCACAAAATTCAAATTCTTACACACCCAATTGTATCAAATACAGCCCAAATAAACCTATTTTTAGTCATTTAAAGCCTTCCTGCTTTGCATGCCCCATGAAATTGCACCTCACATCTACTAGCCATAGGTGTGTTGACACAAATAATTGGTTCTGACCAATCTTTAAATCAAAATTGGGGTGAGTTTATTATGAGCCAGATCTGAGGACTAGCCCGGGGCCTTCCTTCCCCAAGGAAGGAAGGGCGCCAAAGAAGTGGGGCATACAGAATGGTTGTATACTGTATTGGAACAAAAAGCATACGTCACATATGTTAGGAATGTCCCTTTTACAATAGTCATGAGATTGCCCTGTCAGCACTGAGTGACACAGCAGGTAGCAGGTCTGTTGTCTGGAGCTGGGTGGTCACTGGTGAGCACAGCGATCAATTCCTAGCCTAGGGAGAGATGCTTGTCTTTAAGGAAGTTCCCATGTGGGAGAAGTTACATCTGTATCTTAAGGGCATTTGTTCTTGTCTTTGGAACATAGCAAATGCTTAAAGCAGATATACAAGGCATGCTCACTGGCCACGTCAGGCCCTTTTGGAAAAACAAGGTCCAACTGAATTAGTCTTACACCAAATGTCTTCCTCACATCATCCAACTTATCCTATTGCTTCCCATTTATTTATCAGGTACAATAAACTCTGTGCTACAGAAGATCCCAAGCCACCAATGCCCCTTGGAGCTCTCTCATCCAGAGGCTCCCCATCATGATGAACATCATCATCTATACAGGAAAGAGCCTCTCCATCTCCCTCTCCCAAAGGTGCTTCCTGACCCTCCTCCTCTTCTGGGTGGTGGCCCCAAGCCATTGCCTGTGGGAGCGCTTGAGCTGTAAAGGGCTTCCCCTGCGTGCAGATAGGTCAAAGCCCAAATAAAGCTCATTGTCGACCACAGCCAACCACCTGATCACATCTTGTGCCTTCATCAGCCCCGAGATCCCGCAAATTTACTAACATAGCTATGGGCTGGAGGCCTCAGTTCCTCAGAAGGGCCTCTCCGCAGGGCTGCCTCGGTCTTCTCACGACTGGGCGGCTCACTTTCCCCCAGAAAGAGAAATCCAAGAGAGAGCGCAACTGAGATGTAAACAACAGTGCTGTTTTATGACTAGTCGCACACCATCACTCCTGCTTTATTTTGTTAGAAGTGAGTCACTAGGGGCTGGCCCCGTGGCTGAGTGGTTAAGTTCTCGCGCTCTGCTTTGGGGGCCCAGGGTTCTGCCGGTTCGGATCCTGGGCACGGACATGGCACCGCTCGTCAGGCCATGTTGAGGCGGCGTCCCACATGCCACAACTAGAAGGACCCACAACTAGAATACACAATTATGTACCAGGGGGGCTTTGGGGAGAGAAAGCAGAAAAAAAAAAAGATTGGCAACAGTTGTTAGCTCAGGTGCCAATCTAGGGAAGAAAATAAAAGTGAGTCACTAAATCCAGCCCACATTCAAGGGAGGGGAGTGAGGCGCCACCTCTTGAAGAGAGGAGCAGCAAAGAATATGTGGGCATGTTTTAAAAATCACCACAGCTCTTTCACAGGCCTCCTCTCTCACCTCACCCCTCTTCTCCAGCGCCCCGTGAGGTGAGCAGGGCAGGTAACCAGACTCAGGGAGGTTGAATGACCTGGCCGTGCTCATGTGCCTGGTACATGGGACTGGAACCCAGGACCTTGTCAGCCTCCTCTCCCCATCGCCCCCCCCCCCCAGGCAGGAACCCTCGCCTCTGCGAGGCATGTCTCACTTTTCACACCAGTTTCTCTTCTCTCTTCTATCTTGTGGTCCTTGTGACAATCCTGTGAGGTGCATCAGAGATTATGAAACATAGAGCAGCCAAAAAAGATCTGGGTTCTGAGCATGGCTTTGGCACAGCTAACCCGTGTGATCTTGGGAAAGCCCCATCCCCTCTCTGGGCCTCTTTACCCTTCTCTATAGGATGTTAAAATTTAGATTAATATTCAAAGAGTAGACAATGGCAACTCATAGATATAATATGCAGCTGTGTCAAAGAGTGAACTCATTAACTAATGAGGAAGCCCTGAAATATTACAACCTATTCTAAGGAAAATTCAAAGAACCACAAGTTTATAGTCAGATAAGGAATGCTGAAGTGAGTTTATAAATAGTCCGGAAAGTGGAAGAACTGGCAAAGTTGGTCAATATCCACAAGAATCAATTGCATTCCACTGTGTAATGGCCCTGATTTGCGTTTCCTTAGAAAGGAGTTAATTGCCTTACTATCAGTTAACTTCTACCTCTACAGAGTTGTAAAGTAGCCTAGTCAAGGACAAACCTGGCAGAGATAAGCAGGATGGCTGCACTCTCCAGGTCAGGACTCCCACTTCATTTCCGAGCCTCACAATTTTGCCTCACAAGGATAGAAGTATGGGCCTTGATCTCTGGTTCCTTTGTAGGGGAGCAAAATTTGTCATCCCAAAATGTGTCTCTTTGGCATGAGGATAATTTTAGGCTGATTATTTTTAAGAAACAAAAGACTCAGGAGGAGCTTTTACCTCTCCCTTAACTGCCTAAAGAATTTAGATAAAGGGCCTGCTCCAGGAAAGGAAGTATCACCAAAGATAACTATAGTCTAATAGGAACTAGGGATGGTTGGCAGGGAGGAACCTAGCAAAGTCTCTATTAAAATTCCTTTCTGTGTCCTCTTGTTTCTGTGTGGCTCAGCAAACATTTGTTTATTAAACATTTACTCTTTATCGTTTTTCTGAATTGCCTTCCTTCTCTCCAGGCCCCTATGCCCTTCTCCTTAGTCCAGAATGGCATATATATCTCATTTTGCTTGATTATCTTTGGAATCTCTCATGTTAATGTGGATTCCTTGTATGTACATAATTAATTCTTTTCTCCTGTTAATCTGCCTTATGTCATTTTAATTATTCAACCAGCCAGAAAGAACCTAGAAGGTGTAGGGGGGAAGACATTTCTTCTACCCTCTCTGGGTTCATCTGGCCGGAGAACGAATTAAACTCACATGGGACAGAATAGCAGGAGAAAATTAAACAAAGCTTTATAAGATGTATACATGGGAGAGGTCAGGCAAGCTGAGCAACTCGCCAAAATGGCTGAAGCCCCCACCTTAAGTATCATATCCAGCTAAAGACAAAGGAGGATGTTGGGGGTGGGGGGAGTCAGTTACAGGAGGTTACCAGACAAGCACAATAAACAAATTTAAGTCCTTGCCTTCCCCATTGATTGAGTTTCTAGAGATAAGGTCATCCCCCATTCTTCCTGGTAGAGAGGGAAATATCTTTACAGATAGCGATTTCCTTTACAATGTAAATGTCTCCTAACAAAGGGCAAGTAAATTCTACTTTTCAGTTGCTTTCCTGTCTGCAAAGTAACTAGCCTCAAATAATCATCATGCCAAAGAGACATATCTTGGGGTGGTCAATGCCAGTCCCCCACAAAGGATGGGGGGTCGATTTTTCCCTTCCCCATCACCTAGCGCTGAAATTTCCTGCCCCTAAGCCTGAATTAGCAGATAAGGCAACAGGATCAGCTCATGGGTGGCCTACTGGGAGTTGTGTCCCTCCAGTTGCCCCCACCTAGGTCTGCCTCCCCCTTCCCTCAACTCAACCCAGGAGCATAAGAATGAAAGACCCTCTGTCTGCTCTAGACGCCAGAGACTCCTTTTGAGAAGAATTGGGTTTTCTGGCTCTTTCTCTTGTTCTGGCCCAGAGGTAGGACCCTTATTTATATTGGCTTAAAGTATGTAATGAATAGCACATAAGTCAAAACCAGCCTAATTATCAAATGCAGTTGTGTCAATAAATGCCTTTCAATCCATGCAATGAGATGACACACTCCGAATACAAAGGGAAGAAAAGCCATTATCCTGAAATGTCTGGCTGTTACCTGGGCCAAGCCCTGTTAAATCATTATGGGTAATTATAGGTTATTAGATGCTATCATCCCAGCAAGAGAACCAGCCTCAGTTGTTACATTAATGCCTTGGGCAGTGCATGGACCCTCTGAGTCAGGGAAGTTAAAGGTAACTTCCTGGAGTTTTGTTGTTTTACTTTTATTTACTCTCTCTTAGCAATTTTCAAATATACAATACAGTATTATTCACTGTTGTCACTGTGCTGTATATTACAGTCACTTTCTGCTTCTAGTCTCCTTCCATCCTACTTCTTGTGAGTGCCCCCACAAAATCCTTCTGAGACAGGAACCAGCCTAAAGAGACAAGGCCATCTGCAAGGCCCCAGGCCTAACAAGATTGGCCCTAACCAATCAGCAGGCTAGGGGAATCAGCTGGAGGCCACCAAGATCCACATTCCACAGCCTCTGGACTTTCCTGGCTTTGCACATGCGCCCTAGCACCCAGGAGTCCACTGAAGGTGACCCTAGCCCTATTAGCATAGTAAAAATCACACCTAGGGGTGGAGAGCTAGCATGCTAATGATGCCTGTGTCACATGAGGTGGCATGTTGAACAACAGCGCAGGCGCAAGGAAAGCCCCACCTCTACGTGCAAAACAAGGCTCCCTGTCCCCAGCCTTTGCCTAATAAAAGCCCCACAGTCCTGTTCCCTAAGGAGCCAGTCAGCTGCCCCTTTCCTTTCTGCACTGGCTCCCTTGTCCCTCTCCTGTGCACAAGCTAACAAACTTTTACTTTTCTAATCCCGTTTGTTGTCTCTCTTGATCTCTGTCCTGAGGGACAATAAGAACCCAATGCATCAGGAACACTTGTGCTTCATCGTTCAGGTTTTACCCAACAGATTTGCTATCCCAAAAGATTTATTATTCTTTCCTAACAGGGAACTCCAAGAAGCCTCAAAGAGCTTTCCTAATTCTCCAGTCAAGTCACTCTGAGCTGGCTTCTTCCCAGAGGGAAAGTTGAGGAGGCCTCTAGTGTGTGAAGTGGGGAGAAAAATGAACATCTGAGTTGGTAGGACTAGAGAGGAAAAGTGACATAGCCAAGATCACACAGCTTGGCTGCAGCTGAGCTACAGAGCAGAGAAGGGGCGGCAAGAAGGTGAGAAGGGAGAGAAGCTGGGAGCTCAGGGTGGACAGCTGAGGCTTTGGCAGATCTCCTTCCAGAAAGGGCAGGTGGGGAGGTGGGGAGGTGGGGAGGGAGGTATATGGCTCCTTTAAGACTCCAGTTCAGTAAGACAAAGGGTGGTTCTCCTTCACTGACCAAATATTCTGATCAAACCCTGTGGTAGATGAAATATGGCCGCAAATTCTTTGATGTTCCTCCCCTCAGATGCTGAATCAATTTCCCCAGTCTTTGAGTCTGGCCTTCTCTTGTGACTTGCTTTGAGCAGCAGAATGTGGCAGAAGGGCTACTGCATGAGTTCCAGAGCTGAGGTCTCCAGACCCCTGCAGCTTCTGCTTTTCATCAGAATACAGCCGGCAGACCACAGAAGAAGGCAGCAAGTCCAGCCTCCTGGAGGGTGAGTGCTGTGGGAACCCGTTGGGACCCCCAGAGCTGGTAAAGTGAAAAAATTTGAGCCACAGAAGATAGAGAAAGAAATCTTATCTGAACTTCCCTTATCTGACCACAGCAGAGGCTCCCCAAAATACCATTACACCCTCCCCCCAGGGAGTTTCTTGTGAACTCAGTTGCCATGGAGACAGACTTCTCATTTCTATTAGCATGAAAAAGCCCAGTAGAACTGCTCATACTTTCCTATTGAAGTCCCAGTAACCCCCCTTTTGTTAAGTTGATATATATAAAACCTTATTATTGAGAGCTCCTGTGCACACTTAAATAAACTATGTCTACTCTCCTGTTAATCTGTATGTTGTCAGTTAATTTGCAGGCCGTCATTCACTGGACCCAAGTTGGGAGGGGAAGAGTTTTCCTCCCAATAGAGGCTATGTGGAAAAGAATAGAGAAGCCCCAACATATAGCCAGTCCCAAGACTCTAGAAGAAGTCTGGGTGAGGCTATCTTGGATCTTCCAGCCCAGCTAAGCCCAGTCAGCAGCTGAATGTATCTACATGAGAGCCCAGGCAAGACCAGCAGAACTGCCCAGTCAATCCAAAGAATTGTGAGAGATAATAAATATTTGTTGTTTTAAACCACTAAGTTTTGGGGTGATTTGTTATATAGCACTAGGTAACTAATAAACTCAGAGTTTCCATTTCCTACACACTCTGTACTTTTCTCATTCTGTTTCCTGCTTGGAACGCTCCCATCATGGCCCTATCTGCTGACTGAGACTCTCTGCTTGACCAAACTTCAGTCAGGCTTCTGAAACTTAGCCTGGCTCTATCTGTGCGCATCCTTGTAAAATCGAGTTTCTGCAAGAACCCTGCCAGGTCAGTTTAGCAAGAAGCCCCCATCTTCTGTATCTGAACACTGTCAATATCTGACTGGGTTTCTCATCCTCTACCATCCCCCAGGTGATGTCTGATCACTCTGGCCTGTCTTCAACAAAAATCCTGTTAGGTTGGTTTAGCCAGAACCCCCCTTATTCCTGATGTTTCCTCTTAGTAATTTTCCATTCACTGACCCATTGCGATGGTCCTGAATGAAGTCTGCCTTGCCATGCTTTAACAAGTGTCATTGAATAATTTTTTCTTTAACAATATGGTGCTGTGACTTGGATAGGATCAGATTTGTCATTGGACCCCTGGACAGCTCACCCAGGACCCTAATGTGCATCTTTGAAGCTTTTGTCTTCACTCCTCATCCATTGATCTGGAATCCATTGGTGAGTCCGACTTTGGAACCATTGCTCCAGACAAATATCCACTGAAGCCAGCAAAGACAGATTTTAGTTCTTAAGATTCTGAAGCTGGGTTACAGTCCCAGGGTCATTTTGAAAGTTCTCCTCTGGCCTGGAAGGACTTCTTCCTGGCTCCTTGTTCTGGGTGGGGATTATTCCCTCACTCCCTGGGCTGGAAGTCTGTCTTCCTGGCTCTCTGTGAGGCCTCTGTGTTCTCTCTATTGGGTCCTGCTTCTCCCATGGGAACTTCTCAGTTGACTGAAACCCCCGTCTTGAACCCCTGCTGGCTACATGCTCCACCAACTCTATCCACCTCCTTCTTCTTAGCACAATTTTGCTGAGGATAATAGTGAACTTAATTAGTTTCTTTGGAAAACATGAAATCTCCCCAAACTGGCTCCTCTAAGAACTTTTCCTTCGTGTTGGTTCCGCTCCTTCTTCCTCCTTTTGCCCCCTTTGATCTTCCATTCAGTTCCCTTGAATCCGTTATGTCCCCATTCAAGCCACTGTCTCCTTCACCCCTCTGTCCACCCCTGCAAGACTTTTTCTCTTTCCACTCCAGCTTATCAGTCAAACTTTAAAGAGCCCCCTACCCTCCATCTGGGGCTCTCAACTCAGGAATCCCTGAAAGCAACCACTTGAGGACAAAAAGAGGAAAAACATAATGATTTGGAAACAGAACTGGATGTTTTGCCCACTCAGATGGGCTTTGAAGATGTCCAGGCAGCTGCTAGATGTCTCCTCAGTCACTCACCTAAAAGGCAGCCCACACCGTCTATAGGGTTACACATCAGTGTAGAAGAAAATCTTAGCAATCTTCTCCACAAATAGGGGTGAAAAGCATTAGCCCTCTTATTGAGTAGGGTAACCTCAGCTTATTCATTTTTCTCAGACGCAATTTGGATAAAAATATAAAGTGGAGCAAAGACAAGTGCTAACTATTTTATGTAAACCAATGAGTTTGTATGACTATGTTTTACTGACTCATAGCTAAAATGTTACAAGGAAAGCTATAAGATCTATTTGTATCTGTCTGTATGTTGATGGATATGTGTATGTATGTAAGTAATGTATGCATGATATTTTTCTACCTTTGGATGGTATTACTAAATTAACTTATAAAATCCCTTAAAGGAATTCTATTCAAATTGGCTTAGAGAGAAATGAGCACTTATATAAAGTCAATAAATATATAAATTAAATTAATTAAATATTCCTAAAACTCCCAGAGATATAGAAACTAACCCAAATGCTTTGCAAGCTCACATGACTTGGATAAAGCTTTGGTAAGTAAAATTAGTTTCATACAGCTATGTCTTCTGAGTTGTCAGCATTAAGTGTACCACGAACAAACATTTTTATTTCACTTGGGTTTACGGGTCAAACATGCTAATATTATATCTACTGGATGTTTAAGATTATAAAAATTATAAATTCAGAGCCAGCCCAGTGGCGCAGCGGTTAAGTGCACACGTTCTGCTTCAGCGGCCCGGGGTTCGCCAGTTCAGATCCCAGGTGCAGACATGGCACTGCTTGGGAAGCCATGCTGTGGTAGGCATCCCACATATAAAGTAGAGGAAGATGGGCACGGATGTTAGCTCAGGACCAGTCTTCCTCAGCAAAAAGAGGAGGATTGGTGGCAGATGTTAGTTCAGGGCTAATTTTCCTCAAAAAAAAAAATTCAACCTCAGAACAAATGTACAAGTAAATATGTAGTAACAGTAAACTACTTGATATCCATTACTTCATGTATATCAAGCACAGTAGTAAAATAAAAAACCCATGAAAACTCACATATTTAACTTTTCACGGTTTTTGCTTTTGCGATGCTTGCCCAACATATATATGCTGTAAAAATAGTTCACCAGAAATAACTTGAGATGATGGCCAGATCAGTGTGATGTTATAATTTGTCTACCTAAAGTAAAAATCAGTATCATTTCTATGTAAGATAAATTACTCTATGTAAGATAAACTATATTAATTATTGAGTATAAGTTTAAATATTTTTGGCTTCTTGTTTTTATACAGTGTAGAAAAGCTAAAGATATTTGGGTCAATTAATAAGCATGTCCTTGGGGCTGGCCCAGAGACATAGCGGTTAAGTTCGTGTGCTCTGCTTCAGCAGCCCAGGGTTCGCTGGTTCACATCCTGGGTGCACACCTAGCAGCACTTGTCAAGGCATGCTGTGGCGGCATCCCACATAAAGTGGAGGAAGATTGGGCCAGCCCAGTGGTGCAGAGGTTTAGTTCACACGTTCCGCTTCTGGGCGGCCCAGGGTTCATGGTTCAGATCCTGGGTGCGGACATGGCACCGCTTAGCAAAAGCCATGCTGTGGTAGGCGTCCCATGTATAAAGCAGAGGAAGATGGGCATGGATGTTAGCTCAGGGCCAGTCTTCCTCAGCAAAAAAAAGAGGAGGCTTGGCAGTAGTTAGCTCAGGGCCAATCTTCCTCACCAAGAAAAAAAAGTCCTTTTTGCCACATTGAAAAATTGTATACTATGAGGAAATATATGCCACTATAAATTGTGAAACAGCGTATTCATAAATTTGATAGTCTGCTTTAGAAAACTGGTATGTGACAGATAAATCACAATTATCTACTTCCTAGTTTTCTCTACAGAAGAAAGGTTGTGATGGTTAAAAGTAATAACCAATTTATGAACTAGAACTACTAAAAATAATAAGGGAAATAACTTTTTATACAAATTGTGTGAGGAAAGTAAGATGTGTTTTTGATAAGGAAAAGTATATAATGCAAGAAGGATAGATTTTTGTCAAGGAAAAAAGAAAGTAATTTTGTCATAAGATAGAATGACTAATTATTCCAGAATAAGAAAGAGGAAAAATATAAGACAAAAGCTGAATAGATTTTTTTTTTTAAGTTGTAGGTTTGTGGGAAAGGAAATTTATGTATAATCAAGCTGGCTAAGATTTGAATTGATGTATTTATAAATTTTTCTAAAATGACTCAATATTAAAAGTGTACTGATACAAAACTAGAAAGATGAAGTTTTCTTGGATTATTGGTCTGCCCTCAATGAGAAATTGTAAAAAGATTTTTCTTTGCCTTTTAAGTAATCTGCCTAGGAAACAAAGTTTTTGTGTCTGATCAAAATAATTTCCTGTGCTTCATGTTGTCTTTATCAGGTCTCTGATTACTTAAGAAAACCAAGTCTTCTCAATATTAAAAGAGCTAAGAGATTTTTTCATCACCATTTAACGTCTGTATTTGCCTTAAGAATCTTTTATTGTCACTTTGGCTATATAGATAATTAAGTATTGTTTCATAGTTATCTGTGAGCCTATTTAATCAACTCAAACCTTTTTTTACATTTGTGACAATTTTGCCTTCCCAAAATCAAATCCTAAATGGAATCTTCTTATTCCCAACCTGACCTTGAGATTTCCCAGCAGGACCCTCAATAACTCAAAGGAGTTATTCTTTCACCTTGTAGAGAGAAATGTTAAAAATAATTCAGTTTATTTGATATGGCTAATTTAATAAGAAGCATCATCAAATAAGAAGTGATTCTAAACCTTCTTCAGGATGCTTGTATGGGTATATATTATTACTATAACTGTTCCAGGAATTGTATGAAGTTCACATAAATTTGTCATTACCCACACATTATGATATGTGTGGCATAGCGTCATCAGTTATTAGGTTAAAATGTATGCCATAGAAATTGCTAAATTTCCTTATTGAATGAACTCTTATCAGATCTTTAACTATGGCCATTTTAGTCTTTTGTCATTCACAAGCAGTTTTTGCTTACTCTGAAAGCATTTATAATCAGCTACAGGCAAATGCTTTATGACAGCATCACTTGACTAATGTTGAGACCGTACTAAGAATCTCCAAGGTTCAAGTGGAGAAACTGGATTCATGAAGCTGCTAACCAAAGAGCCAGCAGAGCAGGAGTTAATTACAGGAGACTGAACGAATGGACGAGTTTCTGGCTGGCACATTGCTGGTTCTTTAGTGTTCTGTTTTCAGGCTCTAAAGAACCCCTTTCTCTTTATTCTTGAGTTGTGTAGAACTTATAACAATTTAGTATAGTTTTATAAACAGAAATGAAACATTTATTTTTTTCTCCCTACCTGATCCCTCCAAAATTTGAAAACTGTTACTGAGTATTCTTATTTCCATGGCAGCCAATACAGTTATTTGTGTAAGTTCAATAAGAACCTTTCTCTTTGTAATAGGACACAGTTGGAAACATGGGTTATGTTACCAAGGCTTTGACTGGAATGTCGTATTTGAGAATGATGCATAGAGGCAGGTAGGACCAGATGGTTTAAGGAACTAAGGTTGACTTTACAGACCCAATGCTTATAAAATCCTATTGGAAAA